ACTGGGCAAGGGGTCTGCTAACTTAATAACCCCCAGAATAGTCCCCGAAATAATCCCCTATATAACCACCCCCTTTAAAGAACTTAGACCCTAAACCTTAAATCCTAAACCCTAAACCCCTATGTAACCTTCTTAAGGAGTTTAGACTACAGCCTATAGCTCATCTGTGGGAGAAAGGTGCAACACTTGGTCCTGAAACCTCTGACATGCTTTGGTGTTACATCGTATCCCTCAGTACCTGGGGTAGACAGCATGAGCTATAGCCTAAACACCTTAAAAGGGGGTTATATAGGAAATTATATGGGGGAGCGTTACAGGGGCTATGAACGGGGATATCAGGAGTTTAGACTATAGCTCGCATGTTGGAGATTGAATCTAGGGGGGCGTGCCACTGAGCAGCCGTGTGAGACTGGGCTTTTCTAGCAATAGGCACGTTTAAAGCCTGCTAGGATTTGTACTCTAGGTCGCACATGTGTATATCTTGTGGCATGCCTACGAAGCTCACATGGAGCTGGAGTAACATTTCCCGTTGAACGCCAATGGGATCAAGAGTGTTGTCTGGCCTTGGTGTCTCGTGGTTTCAGCGGGGTGGTCCTCGGGTGGAGAACCCCTAACTATTCCATGAGCTGCTGATTACTGTGACTCAGCTTAGGCAATCATGTTTGTCACGCAAGCAGCGCAGCAAAACTGATAGGTCACGCGAATGAAAGAAAAATAGAAGAAAAGAAGGAATGACCGAAGGAATGAACGATTGATTGCGTGCATGAGTGCGTGGATCTCATGCGAAACTGGTCAACATTTATGGCATCGGTATAGAGAAATAATTGCTCCTTCAAGACTACTATCCAGGGAGTTGCAGGAGCCCAGATTCCTCCCAAACTCAACTGGAGGTCTATTGCGCCTCAAGGTAGTTTGACCCAAATACAATGGATAATTCCCAGGAAAATGAAATGGAAACTGGTGATGTACATGTATGGGTTAGGTGCTTAGTAAGCACAACCTAAGTATAACTTTCACGTCTAACCCAACTAGAACCACTTTAGGAGCCTTAGGGGGCTTCTTATACTTGGGCTAGAAGCCGAGCATCACTGCCTCGAACCTCCAGCAAGCGTGTAAGCCCTAGTGCAAGCAAAAGCTATTGCGTTTCCTGCCTCAGAGCTCAGTTTTTTCAGCTGAGGCAACATCTTCTTGACTTGTTTCAATTCGCGCGCTGTGCTCCCATTAGATCTTGCACATGGGCCTGATATAGCCCAACCCACAGCCGGTATCATTTGAAGACTGGGTCCCCAAGGGCTTAAGGGTTTTGATGCTTAGGGTTTTGAATTGTAGGGTTAGGGGTTTAGGGTTTAGGGGTTGCAAGTTGCAAATCCCAGCTTCCTTTTACCCTAAACCATCCATCAGTCCAGAGTAGGTACGAAAAGACCTGTTTAGTATTCATGGCCCTTAATTTCTATATTCCAAACACTAGACCCTACATGGAAAGCCTAGTTACCCAACATCGCGCTCTACTTGAACCCAAAGTACTAGAAGATTCGGGCGAAGTAGATTGAAATTCTGGGCCCTGGACTCGGAACCCTAAACCCTGAAGCATAGACCCCAAACCCTAAACCCTAAGCCCTAAACCTACCCTAGCCCATCCAGACAGCTGAAGGATCCCATGGCAGCCAAGGTCAACTTGAAGGTGGCTCGGGCCTTTCTGGGGATTTTTAGGGTTTAGGGTTAGGGTTTTAGGGTTTCGGGTTGATGGTTTAGGGGCTTAGGGTTTAGGGGTTCAGGGTTTCGGGATTAGGGGCCGCAGACCCCTGGGAGGATCTAGAAAGTAGCAGCCCCCATATGGTACCATATGCTCGGGGAAGTTTCTAGACACCTTTAAAGGGGGTTCCACTTTCTAGCTCCGACCAGGGGTCTGGTGTGGATAGCTTAAAATCACCAATGTTATGATCTTTTCCACATTCTTTTCCATGCAAACCAGGAGGCACGTGTTGGTGGAAGTATCAGCCACCCAAGGTTGAAGGCTCGTTTAGTGTTCAGAGCTTGAGGCCTAGATGGGCAGCACGATTACCTTTAGGTTTCCAAGAGCAAAGTAATTGGCATTCCCCTTAAGCCCTTATCCCTCAACTGGGGTTTCAGTTCCCGGACACAACCATGACCCATGAACGGCCATTTGCAGATTGTAGAGGCTATGGGACTGTGATGACAGTCTAGACCTAGATAACACTTATCCTGGCCTACGCGTCTTGCTGTGAAAGATATTCACAGACTCTGAGCAAGTGGCTTTGAAAGGGCAGCGGTCTTTGTAGGGCCCCTTTTCGGACTGCATGTTAGTTGTGCCAATGTAGCATCGCAAGTGGCAGTCAGACGTAGTAAGTAGTAAAGCTGGCAGTGAATAGTAGTTGGAGGTGAACCATGTCGTTGTTAGTCTTGTCCCGATTATTATGAATCGCATTATTATTGATAGTGTCATGCTCATGATGATGGTGATGATGACGGTGATGCTTGATGATGATGATGATGATGATGACGATGATGATGATGATGATGTCAATCCATGCAGCTGCCTATACAACAGTTCTGACCCCTTTACTGCTTGGTGCCTCAGGTGTGCTGATAGAGGCAATAGCAGGAACAATGCAATATTAACATCTACAAGAACAGTGAGCTAGGTCAGTTGTCGCAAGAAGATGCTAGCCGTCCTGGCAAGACAATGTTGATGATAAAGTGGTGGCTCTGAAAAATGGTGGTCCTGATGATAAAAAGCGTCATGACGATGATGCTGGCAGTGCTACGAAGGTCACAAGACCATCCTGCGTAACACTGAGCTACTGACAGGTGGCTCCTGACCGTAGCAGACGCTGGGATAGGGTGCCTGAAGCTTTCTCTAGACGCTGCTTGATCCTGCAGTTGTCGGAGACACGCCTGTGCAGGAGCCTATGCTGAAGCGTGCAAACTCGCCACAGCCGGAAGGATTCGGCCTTTTTTCTCAAGGCCGCGTGCTATCAGCTGAACCAGGGTGGCGCATTAAGGAATGCACAGGACGAGTGCTAGCTGTTTGTCAGGGACTTGCTCAGGCGCAGAATTCTCATAGGAAGTATAGGACCCACGCCTATGATAAATTTGCACTTGCATGGTCAGCCTCTATCCAGACCCTCCTATGTAGTGCCTAGTTGGGTAGTATACTATAATCCCTTACCAAAAACCATAGCAATACCAAAAAGGAACTACATAGGAGTCTTTTGGTAGCCACCATGCCCTGAGCTGTCAATCTCTGGCGGTCGACATAGTAGGACACACCACGCGGTTCCACTATCATCAAGACACGTCAACCGCGAAACCCACAAATGTCAGGTAACAACGTGCCAAAAACCTTGTTCAAACCCTTACCGCTCATGAGCTTAGATTTATTAGGGGACAGTCAGTTGACACAGGCTAGGGCATGACGGCTTCGCTTTCTTGAGTTCCCTTATCCAAGTATTACAATCGGGTTTCTTGTGGGCCCAAATTAGTTCGCATGTTGGCTTGGGCCCAAACTACATTGTAATTGGGCACCTCGACCCGTATTCGGATTTGAGTACATGCGGGATTCGCTACAACCAGGCTCTGGACTCTGGACCATTCCTTCCCTGCTAATTTTTAGGTGAGGGGCCCCATTTGGGTCGGTGGTGTAGATTGGGCCCCCCCTGCTTTTTGGAAACTATTCCCCAAACGCTAAACCCTGAAAGGGGCCATGTTCCCGGACGCCGATAAGATGAAAGACAAGATCCGTGCCACTCTCTTCGCCCCCGAGTACGACCCTGAGGCCCCGAGCCCCTTTAGGGTTTATAGAATTAAGGTTTAGGATCTAGGGTTATGCAGGTTTGCAAACAAGGTTGCACATTGAGAGCCACTGCCCTTGCCTTATTCAAGACGTCTGTAGCCACAGCTATAGTGTCTTCATGTGTGGTGTGTAGGATCATCCCATGATGCTGCGCAGAAATATTGCTACTGAAGGGGCTTGTACCACTCTCAAGATCCACCACTGTGAAACATAGTGAATACGGGGAATTTCGGCTTCTGCCTGTGAATGGGAGAAAAGGCTTCGTGGGCCGCAGTCGCAGCTAAGAATATGAGGATCAAAGTACAGCCTGGAGAAGCCGTAATAGGGACCCCAATCATCCATGTTCAACCTCACAAGGGCCTGGGGTTCCCAGGAGTGATATTTTCACCCCCCAACAGACATAGACTTAGATGCTAATGTTTTGTCTGAATGTTTTTAACAGGAATATCAGCATAGTTGTCCAGCGACCAGCAAAAATACTCGGCAAGCAAGCTAGATGGCTCCGGCCTATCGAGCTTATGACCTCTTGTATCCAAAATTTCGTACTACGCCCAACTATGGCTACCAGACTTAGGAGACTTATTATTGTGTGATGAATACACTACTATATACTACTATGCACGTTAAGAGTACCGCGCCCCTTCAAGTAGGGAAGCCTGCTTTTGTGCTTATAGAGCGAGGATCCATCCTACCCCAGATCCACATGGAGCCCCGTACAGTCAATTTTCAGCGGGACGCTAATCTCAGTAAGGGGGTTTTGCCAGCCCTGATGCACAAAAGGAAGACCCTATTGTAGCCACATGATACTCCTCGGCCCCATTTTAATCATATGATACTCCTATGGCAGGTGGGGTTACCAAATCTGCAGCAACTCTGGTTTGAATCTGCAGAGGGGTCTCTGCAAGTTCCATGCGTAGTTCAAGGCTGGAGGTTGGGCTCCTGAAGGATTTCAGGTGTCTCTTCCTTACTGGGGGATAGTCTCCTATGATTGCGAGATTTTTTTTGAAAGCATCTCCAAAGAGTTGTTGATAGGAAGCCTGGACTCCCCTTGTAACCCCATCTACTGTATTGCTGGGGTCCCTGGGTTTAGGGTTTAGAGAAGCCCCTTTGCAGCCCTTGCAGTTTGATTGGAGCATGATGCAAGCACCTGCCGCAGGCTATCTACAAGACGACTGGCAGGCCACGTCTCAGTCCCAGGGGTTAGGGTTTAGAGTTCAGGGTTTAAGGTTCAGGGTTTTGGGGTTAGCGTTCAGGGCAGCAGGTTTCTAAGATATGGGGGGATCCAGAACTTTGGGGTCTCTGTTTGAAGGTTCCCACAAAGCAGGTGGGGGCGTTTTGAGGTTTATGTTGGTGTCGCCCGATTCACTGAAACTACGATTTTAAGCATTCGCAAGAAGAATGACCCCAATTTATCAGCAAGGTCCCGTATAGTTTCCTTCAAATCTCCATAGATATGCCTGATGATATATCCTAGTCACAGCAAATATGGTTCTTTCCCCTTTTGGACCCATGGTTCTCAGTTAAAGAGGTACGTGATGGAACCCGTGTGTGTGTTTTGTTGCTGTTTGGTCGTTTTTTGTTGTTGGGCCCCTTAAAGCTGAGCCAGGCAGACCGGTAAGTNNCGCCCAAACAGCAAAAAAATCAACACGCCACCCGCCCAATCAACAAAAAAAACACGCCCTCTCCCCGGCCCGCCCAAACAGCAAAAAAGAAAAGCACGACCTCTCCCCGGCCTGCCCAAACAGCAAGAACAACACGACCCCTCCCTGGCCCGCGATGTGTTTTTTTGCTGTTTGAGCGGGTGCATGTTTTGGTTTTTGCTGTTCGGGCGGGGGCCACGCCCGCGCTCAAACAGCAAACAAAACAAACACGCCACCGCCCAAACAGAGAACAAGAAAAACCGGACAACCCAAAAAACAAAAAACGACCAAACAACAAAACAAGAAACACTCTTGCACGGTAGGTGATCATTGGTTGACTTTGAGGACTTTCACACCTTGTAAAACGAGTTGTCCTTGTGTTGTAGGACTTCCCACGAAAGCCAAGACGAACCGTGGACTTCGTTCAGGTTCAACTAACCGGTAGCGGTGGTAAACAAGTCATGCGTCCTGGTTACCGAACGGCTGCAGGCGTTAGGGTAGTTGAATTTCCGCCGAGCTCAGCAACGCGGAGCTTGCAAAGACGCTATGAAGAAAGTGACCCACTACGAGGTGGCTTTCCATTGGCGAATCCTGCTGGTTACTGGGTAATCATCTCATTGGCTTGCACCAAGGACCCCTGGAAGGAGCTAAGAGTTGGATACCCTTAGGAGATCCACAAGAACCCTTATACAACCCATGTATAGTTCCCATATTTTACCGGGTGGAGGCAGTTCCCAAACCCTTTTTCCTCCAAATGATGAAGCCCAAAACGGAGGTGCCAGGCAATCGCGCGCGACGCAACCTTCAAGTCTATCACGATGATGGTGATTGCCCTTTGCCTGAATCGAAGTCCTCCCTAGGTATAGATCCCACTTCCCAAAAAGCAAGGTTGTTCTCAGTATAGTTTCGTTTATGGGGATCTAGTTCAGTTCGCTTGGAGGGGAAGACCATACACGGAGTGCAGAAGTGGTTTGGGAGCTCAGGTTTCTTGTGTGAAGGAAGGGGCTCGAGATGTTAGATGTCAGTATTGCACTGCAGCCATCCAGAGACACAGCTTTTAAACCCGCATTGCCTGTTACATGCCAATTTGAGGGGGCTGTGCTTGGCTGAAGCCCTTGACTGCAAAGCACGAAGAAACCATGAGGGCAGGACTTGCAAAGGCGTCACAGTCCTCATATGCCAAACGAACATTACATTTTTTTGAGGGGGTCCCCATGCTAAGGATTGCTGCAGCACAAAGGGATCCTAGTTCACTGGAGCCCTGCGAAAGTTGCAATTGACAGTTGACTGGCTTCCATGAGAGCTCTCAATCAACTCCCTGGTGCTTAAAGGGGAGCAGGGGAGTGAATATAGGGATTATTTTAGGGGTATACATGGGGATTATATGGGGAGTATTATAAGGATCCACTCACCCACTCTCCTTCAAGCACCAGTAAATGAAGCCGTGACACCAGATCGCGAACGCCTTGTGGATTGGCATCGACACGGATTTGTGCCTTGGACCTTCGCATATTCATCCAAGTATACAAATAATACCAACATTGGACCCTAAAGTCCTAAAGTCTGCAAATATGACCTACATTGGGTTATGTGGACCCCTAAATGCTGTTGTAGTCAATTCTATGCTGGGCTCATCAAAGCCAAGTGTGCACACAAAGCAGCAGAGCTTCCAAGGTATTGCAGTTCATCTGTTCAGTTGACACTAGGCTTGAATTCTTCTTGCCACTAGTACTATAAGCAACATCTTGAAGGCCACCGTACAATCCGTGCAGAGTTGGGGTTAGCCACGTTGGATTAGGCTTGTCAGGACAAGAGCTTGACAAGGCTGTTTGGGGCGGCCAAGACTCTGTGATGGAACTCAACCCTCAAGGTTCTGGCAGGCTGAGAGACAGAAGCATTCAAAGGTGGTGTGTAGCACAAGGTGATATCCAGGTCCTCCATTTTGGCAAGAAGACAGACAGCACAGAGATCTTGACTTGTCACCCAAGCTCATACAGATTTGGCTAAAACGACCACAAACTGGTAAAGACAAAGCCCGCATCGTTCGGGACACGAAGCCCTAAGCCTCGAACCTTCTCGTACTTCCTCCAGGAACAGTGCAGAGCTTGAGATTGAGTCCCCGGCAATCTTCCAGGCATCACCTCTATGGGTGCCAGGCTTTAGAGGGGTAAACAGCGGCTCAAGGAATGATGCATAGTATGTTAGGGTATGTACGAAAGGCCTGAGCCATTAAAAGCCTTCCCGACAAGCATTCGCCGGGACAATTTCGATACCATTCAGTGCAATACCAATGAGTATAATACCCATATAAGCACTGCCATCTGGTGTAGAGTGAAGAGATACGATTCTTCGCTGCGAGGTCACCATTGTTAGCTACGCATCTGTATTGCAGGCTACTGAGCGTCGTTGCTTGATTGCTGTTGAGGAACTTAATGTAGATAACCACAACTTGCTGTTAAGTAGTAAGCAAGTTGGTTTCCACGTGAGCTATAGTCTAAACTCCTAGTATCCCCCTTAATAACCCCTATAGTAGTCCCCTATATAAAACCCTATATGACCCCTTAAGGAGTTTAGATTATGGCTCACGTGGGGGTAAGTGAACGCAAGTTCCTTAACCGCAGCCGGAACAAGACTTGGACCGGTGTGTAGATCAGTGCGGATATCCTTGTGGAGCATGGTTTGAGATAGGATTGCGCAAGGACATCATTATATCAGTTTTACCGGGGTTTCCCAAAATTAGGGGTACCCTTGCGGGGCTCCTAATAAAAAGGATTATCGTACTTACTTCGGGGGTATATATTGGCGTCCCCCTGCCCCCTATTTATGGGAACATACAATATCGACTGTTAAGGTTGCTCAAGAGCAGCATGTGTCTCAAATCAGTTCTGTTCTTGGCGATCCTGGAGCTCTACTGAGTTCTGTGGGGATTCAACGGGCTTAAAAGGTGTCTTCTAAAAAATGTCACAAGGGCGTCATGTCGTCATGTTGCTAAATTCCCGTGCAACCCACGCAGCAAGACAGAGTGTCAAATCAGAGGAAGGGAGGGAGAAGATACTCTCCTGGAATTTCTCGAAGTTATCCCCACGAAATCCCTAAGAGGAACCCCTTGTAGTGCCGATGTATCCCTCGGGTCTTACAGGGCCTCCTGTTTTGAGAAACCCCCACAATGAAAAAGGGTTGCAGGATCAGGATGGTTTGCCCAGATGTAGTGTCAAGGGGTTCATTTCCCCGCTCAAGCAATTCCATGAGGCGCCCCTGAATAAAAGGGTAGACGGCAAAAGAAGACTGTGAAGGGAAGCCCATTAAGTGACCAGCGGGCCAACCGCAAAGCAGCAAAAGCTCTGCCAGAAGGATCCCTCAATAAAACATCATGCTTTTGAGAAAACTTGCACTGAAAACCTAAGCCTACAGCGGTTTCCGTGTTCTCTTCCATTATTCCCTATATATTACCCCAAAATACTATATAGTACTTTCCATGCTTAGTCTATTCGTGGGCAGATCGTGGACAACGCCTTCTGCTTCTTCTTCACCTTTGAGATCACTGTTCGCCGCTTTGCCAGGTTTTGCTCTACTTTGTTGCTCTGCAAGCTGTCTTGGAACTTACGTCTCCTCTAGCTGGAGTTGAGCCGTTTTTTGTTCGAATTGATGTGGGCGGGCAAAGCAAGAGGGACGGCAAGAGGGGATGTGACCGGCAGCCTCTCAAGAAAGCTCGGCGAAGCAGCAACCCTTCCCCGGCCATGTTGACAAGCCGGCAGCTTCGGGGTGAATGACCCAGAACTTCGTCCAAGGCTTGGGCATTCGTCGAATCTTCGTCGAGAGTAGCCTTCATGTCTCGGTTTGCCTCAGCAGAAGCTTGGGATGGCTGGGTTTGTAAACGCTTCCCTTCTGCCCCTTCATGGAATTCCTGCGAGCATTCGAAATTCTGCATCCGGCAGAGTTCGTCAAAGGCTCTGCGGCATTCTCGCGTTTTGTTTGAGCCGAGCTGCAGACGCTGACTTCGTCCAAGGGCCCCGGGCCATATCCCCATCGCCTGTCTCTGTTGGCTTGCCCTTTATCAATTGTGATGGTCCTCGACGCCTTGCAGAACTACGATGTAGGGTACCCAGAAGAGACTTCAAAATCGTATTGGTAATGATGGCCCGTATGGTGCCTCGTTCCCAGAGCAGGTTTCTGACAGTACGCCCTGCATGGGAGTGGCTCTCTTCGGTAAGTCTAGTGGTGAAGGAGGATCAAGAATTGCAAGTAGAAGAGGAGGAGGTGGTGGCGGCGATCGCAGTAGCTGTAGCAGTAGCAGAGGCAATGGCAGAAGGAGATAGAAGGAGGAAGGGACGGAGGAGGAATGTCTGCCCGAAACCGAAGCAAGCATCATCGTCATCATCAGTAGCAACAAGCTTTCCACCACCGGAAATATGCCGGAAACGCATGAGCCTTCCAAGTTTAAGCCCTCGACCCTCATTCTGAGGATCTGAACTCAAAATCCTGAACCCTCGTCCGCGGACGACAAGGTCATGCAAGAGCCCAAAGCCAGTAGCAGGAGGTTGGCAGCTTAGGCTACTTTGCCTTTCAGAACAGGAAGGATGCCTTCAAGGACCACTGGGGAATGAAAAAGACAATGAAAACTATTATATGGGAGAGTCAAATGTAAAAGAACATGGAAAATTGAATGGAAATCCTAGGTCCCTTTAAGGGGTATGTCGGGGTATATAGGGATGTGTATTGCACCAAAAATGGAGAATCACATGGAAAAGAACATGGAACATGAAATGGAAACTGGGGCTACATTATGTAGAAGTTGATATGAGCTACAGTCATAACTAGGGTTACCAAGCGACAGGGTGGACAGAGGGCGTCCCTTTGGTTTCCTAGCTAAGTCTCTAATATGTTCCCCATGTCCAACAATTTTACAGGGAATACTGCCTGTAGCTAACATCTCAAACGGTTTACCTGGGTGTATAGGTTTTGTGCCTTTCTGGTTGAGGTTATGTCAGGGTGGCGAAAGGTGTGCTATAGGATCAAGAATCAACAGCCTTGAACGGTTTAGCCCCAAAGCGTAAACCCCGAACCTCACAGGCAACCCCACCCCGAAACCCGGAACTTCTGATTGGAGGACTTCAGTTTTTGCTTCGACTTGTGCTTGGTGGCTACCATGATTTGGGAGGTGGCTTCCTGGATTGGGGTCTAGGATACAGGCTGTAGGGCCTCTAAAGCTGATAGAAGTTAGGGTTTTAGAATGACACTGCGACTAAGTAAGGGATTGCCCCTATACCAAACAGGCAGTAGCCCTCTCAACATAGAGGTAACAGGCTTGCGGCTTGTCTGATATAGGATTGAACATTTTCGTTCGCAGGTCAGGAGTTCAGGGCCTCAGGTCGAATTATGCGGGAAGCATGCTGCCCTCGGGTAAGTAGTACCCTACGAAGAGAGGGTTTAGGGGTTAGGGGTTTAGGGTGTAAGGGTTTAGCGTTTCGGGTTAGGGTCCAAGGGTCCAAGAATCCAAGGGTCCAAGGGTCCAGGTTCAAACCGACAGTGCAATGACTATTATCCAAATACCAATTGCTCAAATATTGAGTGATCCCTAAACCCTAAACCTAAACTTTTAAGACGCTCAGGGTATTGCTGGTAAAGGGCTGATACTATATCGACTGAGAGCTTTTATTATCTCAGGCTTCTGGGCCTGATTAGGAAGAGATAGTGGTATAGGAATTGTATACCATATACCTTACTTTAGTATTGGGAGGTATAATTTAGTTCCTATTCCAAAATATTTAATATAGAGGTTATAGACCATAGACTCTATAGAGCGATCGTGCAAGGATTATGTTGGGATGTCTACCGTACTATAGGCATACAAGTAATGTCTGCGCGCCAAGCCTTGAGGGCCCCGGGAGATGTTGCAATGGGGAGCAGTTGCCGCTGTTTCAAGCACGCTGTGCTACTTTATCCGGCAGGATCAAGTTGCTGTAGCCTGAATCAACTGGTCTCACAAGCTGAAATGATGAATGCCAACCCCTAAGCCTTACCGCCCCCAAACTTCACCCCTAAACTCCTATGTAGGGTTTAACGGTTTTAAGGTTTAGGGTTAGTAGGGAATAAGGGAATAATATATGGGAATAACATAGGGATAAGATTCCCCTATACCCTATTAGACACCAATGAACTAGCAAAAGCTGTGCAGAACCTTGTTCATGCCTAGGCATCGAACGGAAAATCAAATGGAAATACTTGCCAAGCCACCCATTGTTTTGTCTGCTCGCAAGCCGGAATCACCTCCTCCTGCATGAACTGCTTCTTTGATTTCATGCAGCCTGGGTCATAGGCTTGGGCTTCTGCCACTGCATAGGCTGAAGCTTAGCGCTTAGGACCTTGGATGTAGTGCTTCCCTAAAACTCGAAAGCTTGTGGAATCAGAGCCTTGTTGGCTCTTTTGCGTTTTTTGCACCTCGTTGTCTCCCAAATCTCTCGACTACGCATACTGCCGGGTTTTTGCCACTCAAAACGGGTAAATGGGCTACTGTCATAATTATTATCAGTGTCATTATTATCTTGGATACTTGGGAGGTCTAGGTAGGTCCGCCTTAGTTTCTGGAGAGGTTTGGGTGACGACGCTCGTGGTGATCTTGCTGATGAGCCCCTCGGCTTTGCCTGCAATGCTTCTGAATGCATTCTTCTGGCCAAATTAGGCCACATTCGGCGAGTTTAGGCTTAAGGTTTCCAATCTAACCCTACCTCACCTTAAATGGTGCTTGATATAGAATACAATCACAAAACGGCCGTATCTCAGGCTTTGGAATTGCTGTACTCCGCCCCGATTCTTGCCATGTTTTGTGGGGCTCAAATATTGGAAGCCCGAATCACTATAATCCGCCATTTTACTCCAATGCCCAATGACTTTCCCATTTTTGATTATTGGGATCATAACCCCCAAGTTATCCCCCCAAGCCCAAAATTATGACCCGTAACCAGTTACTGTAGATCAACCTTCCTGTAGGATGAGGAAAGTCTTGAAGCTAGCCTCCCCCTCTCGGTCCCGCCCTATACTTGTTTACCCAGACCCTAAGGGTCCAACCGCCCAATAATAAGGTACTTGGGTATTATTGGGTAACAGCAAATATGCGGTGATGTGTAGGTTTTGGGTAAGTATATGCTTATTGGGTACTTGGACCCTTAGGGAGATAGGGCCCCAATACGTACTGTACTGGTACTGTTGATGGAGGAAATCTTGCACCACCTTAGGTCCATAAAGTCCCAGGAATTACAGTAATTTAGGGGCCCTATGTGGTGCACGATTTCATCCATCAACAGTATCATGTTGCGGGGCATGTATTGTTGGGGGTGGTCATACTGTTGATACTAAAAATCTTGCATGACCTGAGTGTACTATAGTACCATAATTCCCCAGGTATAAGGTACCTAGGGTCATGCAAGATTTTTAGTATCCAGTGTAGGTGTGATTTTCAGGGTAAGGGGATTACCAGGCACTTCCCTAGCCCTACTGTTGGATATTTGTTGGATACTCCTTCTTGATTCGTGTATCTGCTGGATGCATATGAGCTCTAGTCTGAACTCCTTCCAGGGGGTTATATAGGGGAGTATCATAGGGCTTATTGATGGGGATACTAGAGGTTTAAAGACTATAGCTCATATGTGGAGAGGACTGGAGCGGTGTTTCTTAATGCTTCGTCGTCAAACTATGAAGACGGTTTATGCACTGAGCCGGTTGCTGGAGGTCAGATTCTAGAACAAACTGGGGGTGCAGTTATACAAGGAATGAAGTAGCGATAACTGTGGCTCTTTCATGAGCATGAGTCCATTTGCTCAACAGCAACCCAGTAAAACTGGAACCAGGTAGGGCTTGCTGTCGTTTGCGGATTCCTCACGGTCCAGGAAATTCAATTACGATAGAATCTGGGCCCAAAGGGCGGGTTCCAATTGGTCGTGGGGGCCCCTGAGCCCAAATTGTAAGCTGATACTATACTGGTTGCGTACTTGGACCCTTAAACGCAAAACGAAATAGAACCCTAAACCTTGGGTACTGCCCCCACCCAGTAACAGTCTATATTAGGGGCCCTATTAAGGGCTATATATAACCATAGTACCATTATTATCCAACTGTTACTGAGTGGGGGCAGTATCCAACCTAAACCCTAAACTCTAACAAGCTTCTGCCAGTTTTGCAAGGTAGCTCCGGCTAATGGGCGAGTTCTTCAACCCTCATACCTGGAATCCCAAACCCCCCAAGCCCCTACGCCCAAAGCCATGAGATCCCCCCCACCTGGAAAGCCTGGCCCCACTTGAGTAATAGTTTATTTGGGGGTACTATGGTACCCAATATAGAGTAAGATTATATCCTCCTTTTGGGGTATAGTATTTTATATTTTGAATATAATCCTACATTGTTCAACTACCAAAAAAACCATTACTCACTTAATTCAGATCCCGGCAGACCCTTTGATTTGCACCAAGGCGCCGACAAAGTAGAGGCCTGAGTCCACACGGGTTTAGGCATTAGTCACTTCGTCGAAATGGGGGTTTCCCAAAATTAGGGGTACCATTTTGGGGGTCCCTATAATGACTACAATATTTTGGGGTCTATATTGGGGTCCCATTATTTTGGGAAACTACCAAATATTCTCAAACACACACGCGCAACCTCATGATGTTCAATATGCACCCTATTAATATGGAGCTCTGTATATGTGTATTTCTACATGGCCTACTATGGCAGAATTAATGGTACCGTGTGAGGGGTATTAAATGATAGCTTCAAATGCCCTAATCCTGAGCGGGGTAGTTAGAGTGGCGCTAGTGCAGGGTGGGGGCGGGGGCGAGGGGGGTCCCATGATAGTTGCGGGGTAACTTCAGAATACTCTTTGGAAACCATACCCTCAACACCATGGCGAAAGGGAGATGCTCCACTTTGGCAATTACGTGTACCCAAAGATACGGGTCCAGGAGGTGTATGATCTTGCGACATCTTGCGACACACCTCCTTGACTTTCTGTAGCCATCCAATAAATGCTCCCATCCCACAAAAAAGGTGATACATAACCAGGATAGGATTTCAACAAGTATGTTTAGGCGAGGACATTGAAGGATCCGGAATCTAGAAAGTCCACAAGCCTTTGAGGGAATTGAAGGTATAGGGTTTACAGGGCTAAACCCGAAACCCTGAACCACGCTACATGACGTAATGCTCGGACAGGGGCAAGTCTTGCATTCCCAATGGCTGCTATTTCTGACAGCACCTCAGGGATGTCGGGTCCCCAAACCCTAAACCCTATAGAACCTAATCCGCTATCAGAAGTCAAGCCTTGGGGATGAAGTCTTCATTCATGAATACACTCCATCTAAAAAGCCCGAAGCATCACACCCCTGAGACTTTCGGCTTTAGACAGCCCTAACCCGAAATCACAAGGCTAGGTGAGGTCTAGGAGTCTAGGATTTGTGCAATCATTTTTTCATTGGCTTCATGGAAGCCGTCTGCAAATTTGAGACAGACCATACATCTCCTAACAATCGGTTTAGGGTTTAGGGGTGGGGGTTTAGGGTTCAAGGGTTTAGGGTCTAGGGATCGGATAGCTTGAGTGTTGTGTTGCCCACGGATGACCTGTCCCAAGGCTAGTTGCGCAATCTACCCCAGAAGGGTCCAAGGATCCAGGTAGCGCATGCCTTGGAACCTGTTATATATATATATATGTATATACATGTGCACATACATAAATGTGTGTAGGGTTAGGATTTAGCGTTCACATTTTTCACATTCATTCGCACATATATGTATATATATATATGCGTTCTTGGGGGGAGGGGTACCATGTTTGTTTATTTATACATGTTTACCTGGTTTATCTAGTTATGTATCAAATTTGGGCTTGTGGATCCTCAGATGGCCATCCTGAACCCTGTGACTTCTGTAAGTGGGCATTCCAACGCTCCAGCGCGTCCTTTGCCCAATTGTGCGAGTCAAGCAAGATAATCCCAAAAGTAGGTAAGTAATATTGTTGATGGAGGAAATCTTGCACCACCTTAAGTCCCTAAAGTCCTAGGAATTACAGTAGTTTAGGGCCTCTAAGTGGTGCAAGTTTTCATCCATCAACAGTAGCCTAAAGCACCCAAATATAGCTCAAAAGGCTACTATTCTACATATTTTTGGGTTCAACAAGATAAAAGGAGCCCCATCGGTCCACCAGTTCCCCGCCAATTTTGGGGTTGCTCCCTGTTGCCATCATCTTTGTGAGTAGGGGTCTCCGAGCCGTATGACTCTGGAACCTACCCAAGGGCTCCAATGTAGTTCCTTTTGGGGTTTGTTATGGTTTTTGGGTAAGGAATTATAATATACTACCCAAAATGGAACTACATAGGAGGGTCTGGGTAAACTCTAGATTGAACGCTTCAAGTGCATCGGGGTGGCCGCTTGACCCGTTGGCGCCTCCACAAGTTCCCTAGAACCTTGTATTGTCGCAGGGTCCCAGCATACGGCATACTCATTGTGCTCCAAGGGGTTCTTTTGTACAATCGTTTGGGCCTACCCTAAATAATAGTTTCTATCTTATTTCCATTATCCCAACATATTCCCTATCGTATCCCTATAATATCCCTTCATTTCCCTATTTTACCCCAATATAGCCCTATTTTAGTAGTTGGACGCTTCTGGTTGATACCCTCAAGCTTATCCTTTGTGCCCCCCGCATTCTCTAGCCCGAGTCTGTTGGGCATTCAGAAGATTGCCAGCCACCAAGCAGCACCACACCGAACCTCCCAAGCACCACGTCCTGAGGGTGATTTCTGTTGGAGTCTTGTACGGGAATGTAGGCAGAATGACAGTAGGTCTGCCGAAGTACCAGACTTACATCATGTACTCCCAATCCCGCCTGTCACTCAGGGTGGTGGCAACCTCTCCATCCTCCGACTTTTCCGTCTCTTCCGCTTGGTCCGGATCGCGCGAGTTGGAAGGCGCCGCGATGCAGGGATTGATCAACAGTGCAGTCATGCGAGCCCTCATAACGCGGTTCTATTTTCAGGGGCGTGCGAGGGACGTCAAGGTGCATGTTTCCTAGTTGGGAAAATTTTGGCTGTGTGGGACTTGAATGAACTCTCTGAAAATCCTTGCTGCCATGTTAGGAACTTGTGATTATTGCTTGCACGGAAATGCCATCTGGGAAGGCTAAAGTCTCCCACGTGTAGCAGACATTATGCACCAGAGCATACCATTGCACATGTCGTTTGCAGCGCGATTCAAGCGCAACAAGCATTCTGGTGATGGAGGAATTCCGACACCACGGCCAAGCCCGCTAGGTGAACAACTGGAGCATGATATGGAAAGTGGGATCGAAACCTCCACGCCCCCCAAAACAAAAATACCCCAAACCCATTTATTTGCAAGGCTTATCAGTGTGTTAGGCCCGTTTCAGCCCCTGAAGCCCTTAACGCATTAAACCCCAAAGCCTGAAACCCCCAACTGCTCGCGCCTGCTTGGAGGTTCGAGGTAGTGATTGTACTTCTAACCCAATACTAAGCCTCTAAAACCTACAAAAATGAGTACCAGTTCTAATTGGGGTTTTAAATTGCCAAACCTTGAAACCCCTCTATGTCCTTGTAAAAAGCCTGTTCCATGTGATTTTCCACTATAAGCTTTTACTTATCCTAAACCTCGCAGAACCCTGAAGAAAAAAACAAAGAAACACCCGCACAGCAACTATATAGACCCTCTAACCCTCGATAACCCTCGATATCCATTCGTAGATATATAAGTATTTTTAAGTATATGTATATCCTATATCTTCCCTACAATGTTGCCTTAAACCCTAAAACTCCTGAACACTAAGTCCCTAAACCCTAAACCCCAAACTCTAAACCCTAAACCCTAAACTCCAAGCCTTCCATCCAAAACCTTAAACCCTAAACCCCTAAACCTTAAAACGGGGAGGCTCATGAGCTCCTGTCGCGAGCTGGTGGTTTTGGTGAAGGGCATCGGGATGGGTCTCCGCTCTGCGCCTCGGTTTGGGAGGGGGTTATGTTTTAGGGTTTTAGGGTTTAGGGGGTTTGGTTTTATAGGGTTTACGGGTTTAGGGTTTACGGGCTGAGGGTTTAGGGGGTTTAGGGTTTAGGGGGTTTAGGGGTTTAGGGATTTAAGGTTTAGGCGTTTACTTCTGAAGACAAATTGCAATGTAGGCTTGGGGGCTTGGGAGTTTATGGACTACTACTCTAAACCTTGAGCCAAAGACCTTGAACTACAATTGTCCAGTCCTTCACTCCTTGCTAAAGTGGAGGTAAGGGGGATGAGTTTACTGCGGGATTAGAGGGAAACATGGGCCATGATAGGGGCTTATATGGGGACCACTGGAGGAATCCTACTACCCACCGAAGGGTTCATGGTTCAGAGTTTTTTGGCCTGTTGGGTCTTTAGCATTTGGGTTGCGGTTGCGGTGCTGAGGGGTTAAGGGTTTTTGCTTGTTTCGGGTTTGGTGTTACAGTCTTTGGAGTTTACGCATTAAGGGCTTGGGATTGGAGAGCTTGAGGGCTTTTGTTTGAACCCTTTCAGCTTGAGTGTGGACAGTGGCTTTCCGAAGTTGGTTCAGGGCCTGTCGGAGTGTTTTGCAGTGCCATGGCGTCCCGTTGACCTCTTGATCTTGGAGTGTCCGTCGAAGTCGTACTATATTGAGCGGTTCATAACCACTGTTTCTGATCTACGGCCTGCAATGTCTTCTCATTTTTCTTAGCTTCCAAGGCTACACCAGCTGGGGTGCTTGGCCAGGGTTCGGGTCCTGGGTTGCGTTGCGGGCTTCATCTGAACCTGACAGCCTTTAAGCCCCAATTCCCTAAGGGTCCAAGTATCCAATAAATGGTCACTGAGGTATTGGGTAATAGTAATTATAGTGCAGCTGTTGGGTAGGTATATGATTACTGGGCACATGGACCCTTAGGGAACTGCAAAAGCAATTCTGAAGAGAAGTTGGCAACAGAGACCGGGGAGCCGTATTGTCAAAAGCATACAACACTGAATACGGGTCATGATGAGAATAGCCTTCACCCCCTTTCCTACAACTGTGTTTGCTCGAGTCTCGACATAATGTGCATGAGCCACATCCCTCACAAAAAGGCATATAGTAGGGTTACTCAGAGTCGGGTGTGGACCCTAAACCATAAACCCTAAACCGCGTCAGAGTTGGATGCCTTGAGAAGTTCTTCCCAGGTACTGTCTACACTGCACCTGGGCCTGATATATTCTGGGTTGAGTGAGGTTTAGGGGTTCAGGGTTTAGAGTGGTTAGAGTTTGAGGTCTAGGGTTTAGGCTTCATAATTTAGAGTTTTAGGTGGTTCAGGGTGTGGAGTTTGAGGTTTAGGGTTTACGCTTCAGGGTTTAGAGTTTGAGGTTTAGGGCTGAGGCTTCAGGGTTAAGTGTTTGAGGTTTAGGGTTTAGGCTTCAGGGTATAGATTTTGAGGTTTAAGGTTCAGGGTTCAGGGTGTAGAGTTTGAGGGTGAGGGTTTAGGCTTCAGGGTTGAGGGCATAAGGTTTGAGCTCTAGGGCATAGGGTTTCGGGGTACTTATCAGGTGGGTACGCCTAAAGGCGTCCCGTGTAGACCTCATATGCCCCCCTAAACCCTAAACCCTAAACCCTAATTAGGGGGCACCCACCTGGTAACTCCCCACCTGGGGGTGTCCAGGAGCCCGCGTAGTACTGCCAAACATGTAGTTAGCTTACGGCAAGCTCGCCCAACAACGAGCGTGCCCGGCATAGGAAAATCAGATAATTTGTGTGGTTCTACTGTTCAGCTTTTGTCTGGAGGCTGATTGAGAAGTGATGTTTGGGTACCAGGGTTTGACGACTTGATGGTACTGTATCTTCAAAGATGCCCCTGTGGCGGTCTTAGGTAACAAGCAGAGTTAAGGGATTGTTTCTTTGTGCTTTTGTTTCGCTGACCGGAACCCATCCCTTCCTATGCACTTCCCTCCTTGCAATTCGTGATGCCACGTGTTCTGAAGCTACACAGGTAGCGCGGTTCAAAGGTGGGACCAGGGCGCGACCCTTGAAGCTCTATTCCTGGAGCTCCGTGAAAGATATGCGAAAACTGGATGCCAAACCCTGAGGGTCCGAGGACCCAAATAATAGGGCTTTAAGGCCCAAATGCAGTTCATATTATAGTACAGTATTTGGTGCCTAAGACCCTATTATATGGGTCTTTGGACCCCTAGAGAAAGCAGTCTGATCAGCAATGTTAGAGTTGGCAACAATCCGCCTGAATTAGGCCAAAGACCATGGTTCTCAGTCAGCCAGCCAGGCGTTTCCTGGTCAGCAGTGTAAACCTCATTTATCAGAAAGAAGCGAGACAAGACAGGGTGCCCGCAGCAGGTCCCTTTCTAGATAAGGAATCCCTCAAGTTATAAACCAGATAACACCCTATCCTCTCTTATTTTTTACTGAGGTTCCTTATAGTGGTGGTCATCTAAGCCGCTCAACCCTGTAACCCCAAGCGCAGGTTCCTCATGATGGTCGTGATCTACATTTTTGCGATCATCTTCACCCAGCTTTTCCGTGGCAGCCCTGAGGCTTGGAACAGTTAAACACTTAAAGGGCGGGGGGGGGGGTCAGGGGGTACATTGGGGATATATTGGGACAATGGAAAAGAGATTGGAAACTACAACATTATTCGCAACTATGATACTCCATACTTTGGGTACCCCAAACCCCGAAAAATCCCTATAATCCCTCAATCCTAAACCTGAAAGCCTAGGTCCGATCAAACAACAAATCAAAGCTACAAACTCATGGATCGGCTGCAGCCTACTATACCGTGGACCTCCGTCCCTATATAAAAATACGAGTTTCCATATTCTTTTCCAGTATCCCTATATGACCCCAATAAACTAAATAGTAGTTTCCGTTGTCTTTTCCATTATGCCTCTATAACCCCAATATACCATAAAGTAGTTTCCATTTTCTTTTCCGTTATCCCTATATGACCCCCATATACTCCATAGAACACCCTATGTTAACCCTATATAATCCCTATAAAAGCCCTCTATAATCCCTATAATCCCTGTAGTTTCCATTTTCTTTTCCATTATCCCTAAACCCTAAACCTTACACCCTGAGGCCTATGATCCCTGTAGCTTCCATGTTCTTTTCCGTTATCCCTAAACCCTAAACCTTACACCCTAAGGCCTATGATCCCTGTAGCTTCCATGTTCTTCTCCATTATCCCTAAACCCTAAACCTTACACCCTAAGGCCTATGATCCCTGTAGCTTCCATTTTCTTTTCCATTATCCCTAGACCCTAAATCTTAAACCCTAATTCCTAAAATCCCTGTGATTTCCATTTTCTTTTCCATCATCCCTAAACCCTAGACCTTAAACCCTTAACCCTATATAACCCCATTATGGTAGTTTTCATGTTCTTTTCCACTGTCCCTGTTCTCTCATGGATAGGCTGAAGGCTGCTATGACGGTGTGCTTCAGTCCATGAACTGCACCTTGGCATCCGAGATGAGGGTTTAGGGTTTAGGGGTAATGGAAAAGAAAATGGAAGCTACAGGGATCATAGGCCTTAGGGTTTAAGGTTTAGGGTTGAGGGATCATGGAAAAGAAAATGGAAACTACAGGGATTATAGGGATTAGCGTTTAAGGTTCAGGGTTTAGGGATAATGGAAAAGAAAATGGAAGCTACAGGGATCATAGGCCTTAGGGTTTAGGGTTCAGGGATAATGGAAAAGAAAATGGAAACTACTATGATGGGGTTACGTAGGGTTTGGGGTTTAGGGTCTATGCCAACATCTGAGCTACGGACTAAATTTAGGTTGGGGGGGGACCTATGGGGGACTATACCAAGGCTCATCTGGGGCTGGAGATCATATTCAGATGCCCTGTCTGGGAACCTCCATGTCAATCCGTTCCTCCGGCCCCAGAACACCTACGGTTCAGGGTTTAAAGAGCTCTTGGGCTTGGGTCCTACTTCTAGTCGTTGCGTCGCCGACCTACCAATTCAGTATTTGACAAGCTTAAGGAGAGGCGGATCCATGAAGCTATACCAAGGCTGCATTCCATTGCCCTTTAGCCTGAACACCGAGTCCTAGTTCCGAACCCAGCCAGGAAACATGCCTGAATAGAAGCCGAATTGTTAAGTGTCAGGCCGGAATAAGTACCTATATCATGTATTATCCTTGCAGAACTATGGTCTAGGATACCTCAAATAGACCTCAAACTGATATTGGTGATTATCTAGGGCCTTACATGAGTGCACCGCAAGCTCTCTTCTGCGAAGCGGAGTTGTGTTGAAGCTTGGTCGTCCAAGGTTTGATGTTGAACGTTGTGCCTCGCCTGCTTTCAGGATAGCTCGTATTGCCGTGAACCCTATAACCCCTACAGGGGAGGGTTGTTCTCAAGGTCCTTGTAACGAAGGGACCATCGGGAATACACTTGTCAGGAAGGGATCTTAGCCAAACAGGGAATCTACATTCTGGCCATTATGGGGACAGGTATTTTGAACACGCATAATTGTATATAACCCCTTATATAGATCGCCTTAATGGCTGGGTTATAACTGCCCTGAACCTCCAAGTACTCATGAACCATTTGGGGATATTAATAGTCCCCAGTAAGAATTGAGATCATTTCGTTCTTTTGGGTATAGTACTGTATTTCCTGGAAACATTATAGTCCTACTTGGTTCAACCACCAAAATACGCTACCCACATGATGGTTAGCTGAATGTAGGGGTTTGGAGGGGGTGGTCGGGTCACTATGGTCAGGATTGCATGTACTTGTTGGCCATGTGTAAGCAGGATCCCCTTTTTGGAAACTCCCGCATACTCTGCCAGTGGCGGAGTCCTAGGGATCCATGTTATGTTTTGCAGGTATATCCCTTTCATGGTTGCAGTCCTGTGCATACTCTAGCTTACTGGGCATCTTCTTTGTCCATGGATTGCCCCTGTACTGCCTCTGCCAACAAGAGCAGAACAGGCATGTGGGTGAGTTGATAAGGACTTCACATGGGAATCAAAACTTCTGCGGATATGGTAGTTTCCTGATATAGCGGGACCCCGAGATTGCCAGATCAGACGGACGAATATGGCAGGAAGACATAGATTAGTTTTTCAAAAGGGGGCCCCTAGGGGACGCTAGGATATATACAGGCATATGAGCTTCCCTTACTTGATGAACAGCAAAGCCCCGGCCTGGGAAGGAAGATACTACGAGGATGTCTAATAATAACTTGTCTAGGGATCCAGACACCAAGGTGTAGGGTTTCGGGGAATAGGGTTTAGGGTTTAGGGTATTGTCTGTAGTCTTCTTAGGAATCATGTTTCACAACAAATATAGAAGAACCCTAAGGGATTATTAAAGATAGTATGTCTATTATAGGTCTAAGGAGACTACCACTGTTGATAGACTTGAAGGCTCCAAGTAGGCCTTGCTTGCAGGCTTGGACAGGGGGATGCTAGGAGTTTGGAGTACAGCTCATGTAATTCGATGATGCTCACTGGAATCTCTTGCTTAGGGAGAATCAACTGTTCCGTTTTTAATTCTCGGTCTACCATTAACAATCCTGACATGCACATGCGGTTGGCAGAATCCCTGTTTCTACTGTCTCGGCCTCTATGTGCATTTTGTACACCCGCACGCCATTGGAGACTTGTCACGAAGGTCCCGCCCAAGATGGGCCAAGTGACAGTCAACTTCACAAGTACATGTGTTTGTCAGGTTTCTACATCACCACAGCCTAAATGCTGAACCTCAAAGGGGGTGGACAAGGGACCCCTCAAATGAAACTTGCAACATCCTCGGCCCCACCAGGCCCTGATGACCCCTAACAGCTCCTAAACCCTAAACCCCCCAGACAAACCCCAACCCCTTGTGAATGCATGAAGTTTGCACCTCCTAATTTAACCCATACCCGGATAGACACAGTGGCTCGGGGATCCTGAGTGCAAGATTTTTCTACGTACTGCAGAACCTAAAGCCCTATGGATGCCTGAAACCCTAAACCCCAAACCCCCATAAATCCTAAACCCAAACCCCCATAAATCTAAACCAGAAACCCCCATAAACCTAAACCCCTAAACCCTAAACCCCTAAACCCTAACCCCTAACCCCTAAACCCCAAACCCCATAAACCCTAAATCCGAAACCCCAAACCCCATAAACCCTACTTTCGTGAGACCAAAGCAGTGAGGTCTTCCCTGAGCAGCAAGAGTTGATGGCAAAGTTCCCTGGCTGGCTGATGAGTTTTAGGACCTAGAAGGTCCATGGGTGTATAAGCCATACCCTAGGGATCCCAATAGCCCAATGTAGGGTTTAGGGATTAGAGATCCAAATAGCCCAATGTAGGTAATATTTACAGACTTTAGGGCCCAATGTAGGTCATATTTGTGTACGTGGATCCCTAGGGCTAGGATTTGTAGGATTGCGTTAAGGTGGAGGGTTTGTAGAGTGTTCAAGTTTCAGGGCGTGCAAGGTTCTAGGTTCAGGGCTCAGGGTTCAGCATTAGTTAGGCACACACTGACAAGCATATTCATATCTTAGTGAATGGTTGCCTTGCGCGGTCATGGTGATGACATCAGCATGACTCCAGCCGATGAAGAGAAGATGAGTGGTGATAGTCAGAATAGTCGTCAGATACTCAGGTAGTCGCCGCAAAGGGGGCGCCCTTACATGCTCCAAACTATCAGCAACACTGCAAACGAGTCACAACCATTACAGATATAGTGTGCGTTTTCGTTGCGTCAAGCAAGCTTGCGAGTTGAAGTAGTTCGTGGAGTAGAACCTTACTTGGTGGCTGTTAGTAGGAAATGGAGGAATGGATCGCTTCAGCAGCCCCGGTGTGAATTTGTCGGTTTCCACTTTCTTTGCCTTTCCGTCTTTTCCTACTACGAATCAGCAAGGCAAATGTTGATACCAAGCTTGGCACTGGCTGGCGATTGGAGCTGTGTACGATTTACCCATCAAAGCATGCCTCTTTCGGCCTTTCTGTGTCAATATGGGGCTGACATGCGAGCCGCTGACTAGTGCAGGAGTCTGAATGTTTACGAACAGTTGCTTGGCCTGTTCCCCTCTTGGTGTAATGCACGCACAATCACTGTGATCGCGGTATAGGACGCGACAGCCGAGAGATTGTGCTTAGGCTAGGTGCATTGAGAGGAAGTGTTCCTGTCTGAGAGGTATCAATGGTTCTGCTTGGGCACATGTATCGACTGTTGTATTGAAGGCCGGTATCAAGGCTATTCTAGACTTACATGTCCCTTTGGGAAGCAGTTGCCAAAATTGTGCAGAGCCAGCCCAGAGGAAGAATTGTTCAGCAGCTCAGCAGTTTGCATAGAACATGTCTATACCTTGTATATATATACACACATGTAGATAAATACATGTACCCGTAGATGTATATAGAAGGAATTCGATTTACAGCTCCTTTTTTGTATGGGTCGGCCCTGTGGAATCTTCAGACTCAAGCCCTGCTGCCCCTGAGCCGGACATTTTCATCCCCAAGCCTCAACGTACCGGTGGCTACTAGTCAATTAAAAGATGGAATGCGAGGTTTGTAATTGGGGGTTCTACAGGCTCCGATCCCCTTAATCGCCAATACGTAAACTGCACCTGGACGCATAGGATGCTGGAGCTGGGTCCCATGACATACCTGCTCGGTATCTTCTACCTCCTGGTTACCGGCTTGACTGTACCTTTCCCAGCACTTAGTCATGCCTCGAGCACGAAGCCTTTGAAAGCAACCTTTGTGAGCGTCACGGTTGCGTTGTGCGAGTGAAGTTTCACTGGAGTTGGGACTGCTTCCCTGTTGCTACTTCTAGTCGGTGTGATAACCCAGGCTCCCTCAGTAGCCGCGACAGGAAGCACGGTTCGACAGATCGCTTAGCATGTATTTTTTCTAGAACAAGTCAGTGGATCACCTCAGAACCCTGCTCAACAACTTTGTTCAGGTCAATCCACACATCCCTGCCTTTCCTTGCTATGCATTTGGGGAATTGTCACAGGGTCTGAGAATTAATTGCACCTCAGATCATTGGGATGTTATATTCCAAGCAGATCCATGTAAGGTCCTGACAACTTTGCTTGCGAATGCTCACCTGTGGTTCTGCCCATCGCTTTAGTTGCCTGCGAAGCCCCAAACGCTGCAATCATTCTTGAAACGGTCAAGCCTGAAGCTAAATCACAGTTTATTGAGTTGCTGTTAGGGAACTTAGTTGAAGTTACTGTATTGGGGAAACCCTATTCGTTAGTATACATACCCATGATGGCAACTTAACATAAGTTCCTTGACGGCAACCCAGTTTACGGCTTGATGGCTCAGGGTTTCAACCTGTATTGCATAGGGCTGTGGCCAAGAAGTGAAACAGAACGTTGCTATCCGATTGTATTCGTTTTTTGGTCAGCAAGTGTTCCCTGCAATGTAGGGGCAATTGCAAGAAGAGGGACCCCCTCATATACCCCAAAGTAGTACAATTCTTATGCTGGGTACTCGCGGGAAGGGAGACCCCCCGATGTTTTGGACCCCCCACCCAACTTCCATGGACCAGGACCGCCCCATATCTTCCTATAAAAGCCCATGTTCCTGTTATTCGGAGAGAATAGAGTGGTTTTGATTGCATCCTTGCCGTCTATAGAGTTGGCTGCTAAGAGGGCAATGACGGTTTTCTGCCAGCAAGGACACGCAGTCTCATGTATTACAAGCATGCAATGACAAGCCTGAAAGGTCATGAACATGCTCATTGGCCGCGAGCTCAGCAGCAAGCATTCATTCACGAGTTTCTGTAGAACTTTTCTTATCAAATTCCACAGAGGCGACTCCAGGAGAGATACGTATTCCAAACTACTCTGAACCCTACGCCCTTAACCCTAAAATTCCAAGCCCTAAACCCTAAATTCTAAACCATGCACCCCTAAAACAAAAAATCCTAAGCCCTAAACCCTAAACCGTAAAACCCTAAACTCTACAAGCCTAAAATCGAAAATCCCTAAAACCCTGAAATCCTAGACCCTAAACCTTAAAAGTCTGAACCCCAAAATCCTAAGCGCAGTTTGATTGCGTTGGCCAGTGATTGTGACCATACCTTGCTTCCATGCTGCAACTGTGCTTGAATTTGCCCGGCATAGATTCGGTAGACCACCACCCAGAAGGGTTTAGGGTTTGGGGTTTAGGCTTTACAGGGCTTAGGTGGACACCCACTCAGTAATACTGACTACAAGGGAGAATAGTAATTTTATTAGGGTTAAGGGTTTAGGGGTAATAGTGACAATAAGGGAAAATACGGATTATATTTGGGTCTTCTTTATTCCTATTGTACCACTACTACAGGATGGGGGTCCCTAAACCCTAAACCGCCTCCTGACGCAGAGGTGTGTTGGTCGAAGTGGTGTCAGTTGTGGCCCAAGTGGATAAGGAGGCAGGAACAGCTCGCACAGTGTCAACTGCCTGGTTCTTAGTAGGGAGTATGCGAATATAATCCCTATAAAATCTCTATAAGGGTTCAGGGTTTGGGGTTTAGGGTATAAAATCCCTATAAAGTGAATTCCCTTATTCCCTACTAAGAAGCAGTAAGTCAAAGGTATCGAACATAAGCCCTTGATCTGCACCGGCGTTCTTGTTTTTTCGAAGGAAATAGGAGGAGGTCCCCTCTTAGCGGCCATATCATTTGAAGGCAAGTGCTGCGTATGGAATGTCTATATAACCCTGTATAAGCTCTATAATATGGTAGTTTCCATGTCCTTTTCCATTATCCCTATTCTCGTTACTATTATTCTTAGTACTACTCTATTATCAGTTGCACGTCCCCGGTCTGTTCTCCCGAAGAAAGTGGACACAGAGGTGGCGTGTTAGAGTCTCATTGCCGCGTGCGGAGGACGGTAGAGCGCGCCTGATCAGAACACTGAAAACTACAGAAAGCATGAGCACCTTGCGCAGCAAGACTGCAGAAATTGGATCAAGCTACCGTGCCTGGCCTATCATGAAACTGAGCTACGACTGCATCGTGTGCTGGTTTGTTCAAGTGTCAGTTTGGCCACGAACTCCTGCGACTCCGAGTTAGCATCTGCACGTCAATCACCAGGCACAGTTTGGACGTAGGATATCGGGAGTTGTCCCGCTCTGAAAGTGAACTTGGTGCACCGCATTCGGTCCAACCTTCGACTTGTCTGACAGCGGTCACATTTGGGAGGTTGATTCACAGTTCCCTCTACGGGTTTTAGGGGTTCTTGTTTGAAAGTACAATTAACATGAAACCAGGTGTTTGCTCGGCACCACGTAGAATGTTTGGTCCCTTGCAGGAAAGTGCCGTGAAGGCTTTGCGCGACAAGGTTCAGGCCGTCTGGGCATTTCCCTAGCTCTTCCCACATCACGCGGCTTAGGGCTTAGGGTCCATTGTATCCATGATTGGGGTAATATCCTAATACAATGCCTATACTATACACCCCTCTTTGATTCTTCTATTGTTGTGAACATATCCTTGTATGGGACCTGCGGCGAATACTAAAAAGCCTGCATGACCTGTAGTATACCAAGCTCATACAGAATTGTGAGTATCAACAGTAGGAACCCTCGACTCTAAGCCTGAAAGACTGGAACTACAAGAGCTATTTTGAACACTTCATGAATATTTTTTGGAAACTGGCTATGTGCGGATTTGAACCCAACAGTACAGGGATTATATTATAGGGATTTAGCCCCGATCATGGAGACTCAAATGAACACGCAAATAGAAATTCAAAGGCGCACTACAGGGTTTGGATTTTTGCGGAAAAGACCTGGGAATTGTGCATCGGAACTTAGCCATGAATGTGAGACAGCGGCACTGGCTATCATTCGGGCTTCCAAATGATGTGTCTGTTGTCCAACCTTGCTGTCTACTGCAGCTTGTTGCACCTACCTGGCGTAGGCCTTACAAGACTCTTCAATTAAGGTGTCGTAAATGCTGACCTATGATCCCAGTATAATATCGTAGCTTTCATTTTCACTTCCATAATCCCTATATAACCCCAAGATACTATAGTAGCTTCCATTTGCTTGTCCATTATATGTTTGAAGTGATCTTTCAGACCTTGCCTGTGCCAGGCTGAAGGCATTTGACCCAATAGCGCCGCAAGCATGTGGTCACAGGTGATACAGGGACCAAATCAGCTAGTACCGCCGTCCTTGGGTAGGAAAAGTTGCAGTTACGCACGCCCTGGGTTATGATGCCAACTAATTCGTATGTTGCTAT